AGGAATACAAAACCAAGTAATTTTTATTTTTCGTTTTTATTTCAGGATGTGCTTACGCTTATAGGAGAAGCACTGAGAAGCTTTCCCAAACCTTCAGAGGATCCCAGGAACTTATGGCAAAGACTGAAAGGTCAGGAAATGCAAGGCCTGAAAGTGGTAAACATAACTCAGGGACATAAAGAACCGGGAGAGCCTTCTGCGGGCAGTTACGTGCTGAATGACAAGGACTGTGGATGTAGCCTGTTTTGTCGGTGATGAATTGGGTGGTGGTTTAACATCCTTGCGGGTGGAACCAGACATGTCCAGCATGCTGGCATCTAGGTTATGATCTGACTCTTCACTCTTCCTAAATACAAATGTTACAATATATTGTAATCCAACTCTATACCTTTTTCAAATTATGGAAGCCAGCACTTTCCATTGTTAATCTGACAAAGAATAAGTATTGTTTTTTGTGGGATTGCTTGTGGGATTTCCGAGCAGCTTACAGCTTTTTTTATTCATAAGAAACAAAAAAAAAATTTCTGTTTTCCGGGGAGGTGCAATTACTGTATTTCAGCTCAATCTTTGCCCATTGTCTCATGTTAAATTGAAAGTGAGAGCCGCAGGTGGAGGAGGAGAAGAAGGTTGCAAAGTAACTATAGAAAGCAGTAATATGAAAGGGGATATTTATAGAACTGAGATAATGAGACTATAACAAAAATTAATCAGACTGAGGATGCCAACAGGAAAAGAAATTATAATAAATTAGTCATAGAAACTGTATAGGGAAGGTGTCTAGGAAGAGAAAAAACAACATAGATTAAAATTGGAATAAGATGCCAAATAATATTGTTGATCATTCTTTGAATATACTTTGGAATTGGTTGTAATTGTCTGTGTTTTCAAGATGGCAAAGTCACTATCTTTCAAAGAATCTGTCTGGGTGACAGACTGGCATTCAGTACCCATCCAAATAAAATGACTTTATTCTGGGCATCTCGGTGGTTTGGGCAATGAAATAATCTTCACTGTGGCCTCAGAAGATGGATGCTGATCTGTGGGCACAAATGCAGCCCACCTTTCTGATTACTGCTGACAGCAAGAGCTCATTGCATCGCTCTTGCAGCGACCTTGTGGCCATGTGTGAGTCACAAAGTTACTGACTCTCATCAGTCTCCAGTTCCCTGACTTCTGTGCATTGAGATCTCTGAAGGCTGTGGAAATCTGGAAGGAGTATCCTTATCTATGAACTCTTACTGAATTTTTGTTACAAACAAAATAGAATTAAATCTTACTGTTGCATTTTATTTCCCATTTTGGGACAAGAATGTTGTTGTAGAATAATATTGTATTGTTGAAGTTGGTTTTGTGTTTTATACCCATGCTCTGTATTGTTTAGAAGAGTGCTTGCGGGCTGTTTAGCCTCTTGTTTTCACTTCCCACAAATCAATGGAAAATCTGAAAAGAAATGCTAAGATACAGAGGTAGATAGGCCCACCTATGTTAGCAAGTATCTGTCTTTTGGTGCTGAAAAACCTACCCTGAATGATTTCACTGGGAGCCGATCCTGAGTGGGTCAAGCCCCAAGCGAAGACGTAACGCAGCCCTAAGTTGCTCAAAGCTGGTTGTCCTCTCTGCTTCATCGGCAGTTTACTCTGGTTCCTGTGAACATCAGGTCTAATAGTCCATCGGAAATATTCCCCTGAGCTTGGCTTGAGCTTTTGAATTGTCACTGCAGATTACCTGGCTACCTATGCAATGAATAAACGGCCGTTGGTTTCTTCCCGTTACTCTCTAATCCTTAGAAATGTTTAAATCCCTTAAATCTCCTACCTTGCAGTCTTCTAAATCTTTTCTTTTTAGATACTCCATCTCTATTCCTTCTTTGCTTTGGACTGCACTCCCTGTCTCTTGAGTATTTCGAAGTCTCCAGCAGTCTGTTTGACGCGAGGCGAAGGATGCCCGTTGTTCCATGGGAAGTCTGCAAAGGGCAGTCAGATACAGAAGTGGCCATCGGGACTGAATCCTTTGAAAACGTGATTTTGTTGTTAGTGGCAATGAACGCAGCTTTCAGCCCTTACAAAAAACACAGAAAGTTTGTTCCAGGACTCTTAAGTGATTGTTTTTATAAATAAAAGAAGATGCTTTGATATTCTTGCTTTCAGTACATAGATGCTGTCTAGAAATACTGAAATATTTCCTTGCAACTGTTTTGTCGAGCCTTTCTGTAAATACGTTGAACTCTGAGCTATTTGGGTTAGGCAGCTGACAATGTTTGTCTGTAAAAGAGTGTGTTCATACGCACACAGCGGTTGTACAGCTCTTGCTTGCATAAATGTTACAAAGGCAGTTCGGATGGCTCCTCTGAAAAATCAAAGCGTATTTTGCTTATGTCTGTTGCATGCGTTTTCCTACTGCTTGCTACAGTTCTTTCATTTTTTATGAAGAATGACTCTGAGATCTGAGTGTTTGTCGTCTTTGTCTTGTAGCAGCTATTAGGGATGTACAATGGAATGAATGATCTGAGTCTCTAAATAATTGATTTCATTATCCTGCCGTGTTTGAGACTAGAGATCCAAAAATCCTGATGTGGAGGATGTAGGGATAAAAAAAAGTCGAAAATGTCTCTTTCTTTGTCCCCTCACAGGAGCTTCCCCCACCGCCCCCTTCCTCAGCAGCAGATTTTTCTTTTGATCCAAAGAAACACTCTAAAACTATGATCAAGAAATAGTTATTCATCTGCTCCCTTGTTTGTGCTTGCCGGGGCATAAAAGGAGCAGGAAGGATCGGGGGTGATTCATACGGGTAAGCAGCTGTAGCACTGGAACAAATCCATCTGCCCAGTCAAAGTACTGCGGAGCTCTTGCTCTCTGGCTTTCATGCTACACACGGTTGCGTTATTTCATCTGCTGAATGATTTGTGATGTAGTAGAGTTTAGTGCTCTGAACCTTGTAAAAATACGGAAGGGTTTTTCATATATACGTTGTTTTAACTGGTTTTGTGATGGTACAGTTTATAACTGACCCTTTGGATAAAACTGTTTTCCTCACGTTATCACTAAGATCAGTTTCCTGTGGACGGCAGCAATGTAATTTCCACTTCCATTTGCCCTGGCTTTCTCTAGAAAAAAATTGACCTGGCTTCCAGGCTCAGTCATTCCTTAGTCTTGTTTCTAACAAGCTCTTGGGCCACAGGACTTTGTATTTGTTTCTCCTCGAGGATAAACTTTGATCTCATTCACAACCGGTTACTAGCACCTGTTTGAATGGGAATGAAGTTTCAGCGCAGTTAACTTGCGGGATATGAACTGGGAACAAAGATAAACACGTTTGAATACTGATTTCCAGCTACTTGTGAAATACATAATCACGGAATGGTGGAGGTTGCGAGGGACCTCTGGACGTTGTCTTGTCCAACCCCTGCTCGAGCAAGGTCCCCTAGAGGCAGGTGGGACCCAGTCCCACTGGTCTGGTGGTGCTTACACCAATCCTGAATCTTTCCTCTGAAGCTACACTCAAAACTGAAATGCTTCAGGCCCCCTTGGGGTCACTGCCTTTTTGTAAATCCATCTCTCAGTCATGGTTTGGTTGTGTGGCAAGTGTCAGGTGGGGTTTGGGGGTGGTTTGTTTTTTTTTTTTTACCATAGCCAGTTTCATCAGCTTCCAAGAAGAGGAGCTGAACACATTTATTCACATTGGGAGCTTGGCAAAAAATTTTAAACTGGTGGTACCGAGGACAAGGTTTTGCTGCTGGAAGAGATCATGTTCCCCTGTGAAATTGTGAGCTGACACAGCGCCCAGATTCTGCTTCAGTAAAAACCTGAATTGTAGCTTCCAGTGCAGTTGTTCCAAATCATACATATGTACTCCAGCAAGAGCCGGAGTGCTTCCAGCTGTGTATTTTTAAAGGATTTTCACATAGATTTGCATTCTTCAAATAGTAATTTTATTACCATTCAATATGATTTTCAGAGAATGACTTGGTGTTGTCTCCACGCAGTAAGAGCTAACCTAGACACTATGTGCACATTGTTACTGCCCGCAGCAGAGTTGGTATTCTAAATGCCACTATGTTTAGAAAGTATTTTTAATTTTGTGAGTACATACATTAATCTTATGAATGCTATATCTGCATTGTTTTTATGTGACTAGCTCACTGTTCCTGTTTCCTCCACAACTGATTCAGAAGATCTTTGCACTGACGGCAGCGTGATCTGTATGGGGGGAGGCTGGGCAATGAGGGGCCATGTATACCTTCTGCCAGTAAGGGACTGGGTCCTCTACCTTTCAAATTACCTGTAGAATTGATCAAGCTACCTTAAAAAAAACATTTTCCAGTTTCTGGGCATGGATATTCACTGCTTATTTATTTTGTAATAAAATAGTACTGTTTGTTCTCACATAGACTAGTGCATATGATCCATAAATATGTTTGTAAAATATATCTGTGGCAGGTAACAGAATCCTTCAGAATATTCTGTGAAAATTCATATTTTTAGTTGATAGCACTTTAAGAACACTTACATCCTTCATCTTCACAGTTTTAAATAGAACATTTTTTGCCTACAGAAGTAAGTTTACAGCATCATCACAGTATTATAGCTTGTTTAAAAATACAGACAGCATTAGTGGTAATTGCAAGCAAGCTATATGCTTGAGCAGGGGTTTTGTATGTAATTTTACAGGTTTTCTACTTTTTAAAACAACTACATATATTAATATTACATCCATCACTTTGTTAGAAAATATTACGTAGATATGCTACTCACAATAGGTCTGTCGTTTTTGTGATGTAATGTTACAGGCTATGAAAATAGAAACACACCATTGTATGGGCGGTTTAAAAATAATTACAAGCCTAGTTAAAAAAGGGCATTAGGCCTTTTAGATTAGGTTCTGCTAACGTTGGATGTCCTTAATCCACTTACGGTTGGGATGCCACTAGCACCTCTCGGCACTGAACGTGAAAGAAATGCCGACGTAGGCCAGCTAACAAATTCTGGGCTCAGTCCTGCATGCCTTCTGCGTGTGACTTGCTGAAGATGTGAGGGGTTCTCCAGCTACAGGCTTCAGGACCAGGCTGCTACGGCTGCACATCTGTGAAGCTGGTTTGCTTGAGACTCCGGTTGGGTGCTAAAATCTTCAGCCAGGTGACTGGATCAGTGCAAGACAGC